AAAATGTTGGAGTAAAAAATCCAAGTATTGCCCCAAAATAAAAACTAAATAATAAATCCACATTAACTATAAAAACGTCCCGGAGGATGAGTATTGTTTTTATGAATAAATAAAATAGTGGTAGATTTTGGGAATTCTGCAAAAAAAAAAGGAACAAGAAATCTAGCTTCTTTTTTATTCAGATACTCTTTCTCACAACCTCTTTTAATCAAATTTCTAAATCCTTTATATTTGAAAAAGTAAAAAGGTCCTTTTAATCATCTCATAAATGCTATTATCACTTAATTGAGTACCTAATTCTTCTAAATAAAATAAAAATTACATGACCACTAAAAATTATAAAAAATATTATCGGCCGGGCCTGAAAACTATGTCATAAAAAAATGTTAGCATAAAAAAATTCCTTTTTGCATATCTATAATAATTAGGCCGAAACCTTAATGGGAAAAAATTCAGGGATAAAATCTTGACTCACCATTTTTATTTAAAAATTCGATTTGGCAATTAAAAAAATCTGAGGGTTAAATAATAAAAAATTAATCCTTAATTGGGGTATATTGAATGTTGCTAAATAAAAAACGATTATTAATCATATTTCTCTCGGTACAAATACCTAAAAAAAAAATAAAATTTAATGTTAATCTTATCTAATAAATTTTCTGTAGGTCTATAAAAAAATCAAAAAATTTGATGCTGGTTATGGGTAAATGAAAAACTTCAAATCCTTTGTCCAATACACAATTTCTTCCTTAAGTTGTAACAAAAATATTAAAAATACCCCTCTCCTACTACTCTCTTTTTTATAAAAATGACCTTTTTCCGTCCGTGCTCTGCAAAATTGTAAAAATATAAAAAAACTTCTGTTGGCACAAAAAAAAAACAAATCCGGGGACTTCTTTTAAAAAAATTCCCTAAAAAATTCCTAAGGTAATCATAAATAAATTCAAAATAAGATAAACCTATATCATATAACGGAGAAAAAATAAAAAAATACCGCGGTCCCTTGCCATAAATCAAATCTGTTCCTGTCTAAGATACTTCTGGGGTAAAAGGCCTATTTTCCTGTCTCGACTTCTAAATATATAAAAAATCTAAATTCCTGCCTAAATAAAATAAGGAGTTAAAAAAAAAAAAATAATAATGATTAAAAAAAAAAAAATAATAATTAAAATAACTGGTGGGCGATAGGATTACCAATCATATTGTTTTTTCCCTGGTGGTTTATTGTGAAAAGAACCGCCATTCTTTGGTCTCCATAAATTATGTGGTATAAAGTATCCCTTATCTCCTTAAAATGGTTCATTTGGGAATTCCCTTACCTTGACTTCTAAAAAATTGGGTATAATTCGTATGAAAAAAAAATAATTTAAACGTAACTTTTATTTAACGGGAGTAGTATTAAAATGAACTACATTCTGATTCTGCACCTGAAAATGCCATTTAAAAAATTGATCCTTAAAAAATCATTTACAAAATCCCTAATATGATATTTTTAAAAATTTTTTATTTTTCACTTTAAGTCAACCTTCTCCAAAAAATTATTCAAAAAATAAATATATAAGATTAAATAATTTAAAAAGAAAAAAAATATGGTTCCATCTTTTTAATTCTTTAATCTCTAAAATTTGTGTTTCTAAAATCCTCAAAAATTCTCTGTTTGCGTTTCAAAATATAAAAAAATCATTAGTTCTAGAAAATCTCATTAAAAAAAATAAAAATTCATTTTATTAATAGATTCCTGGTTAAAAAATTAGTCCATACTGATGGGCACATCCCATCTTAATCTTCTTGGGACTAATCTCTCCTTAAGGTATTTTTCATGGGTAAATCATGTCCCATGTGTGTGAGTTTTTTCGGAGTAGGTTCTTTTAAAGAGCTGGTGAAGGGTTGGGATATTATAAATTTCATTTTAAATAAAATAATATAAAATAATAAAAATAATAATCTTCATTAATATAATAATAATTTTTAGAATTATTTTATTATTTTTAAAGCTAAAATATAATATTTTTTTTGATTAGATTAGAAGAGGTTCGGATTGTGTATATACGTGTGCGTATTTATGTGCACAGGTATATATATATTTCCAGGTAATTATATAAAAACAATTGGTTGTAGGTCTGGTATATACAATTAGAGATCTTATGCTGATATTTACCATAACTAATGATTGATAATAGTATGGTAAGTATGTGAGAGATGGTCTATTTTATTAATTTTAATTTTATATTTTAATTTTTATATTTAATAAATAATATAAATTTTTTTGCTTTTTAATAAAATTTAATTAAAATGGGAATTGAATATAAGGGCATTTTGTTGTTTTTTAAAGAGGAGTCCCCAGTGGTCTTCAGTGTAATGGCCGCAGGAAGTAGTGATGGGATTAGGCTGAAGAAAACCCCTCCTATGTGGGTGGTTCTTTCTAACAAACTGGGTATTTAAAGAGTGATCGTCACTGTGATTGACAGCCCTGATGAAGTCACATGACACTGTGACGCAACGCGTCGGCTTAACGCGGTGACGTATTTCCGGCGTGGCGGCCATCTTGGTACACCTGTGCATTCAGCTGTACACCCAACAGATATATCCTCATCTGAAAGCATGAGGTTTTTTCTTGGACTGGCTGCTACGTAAGTTTCAATTTAAATATGCTACATGTTCCTATGGTATAATTAAATATACTACACTATGGGAGGATTCCTTTGTCTCATTTTGAGAGATTGATATTACAACTTTTCCTGGAGAAGAGCCATAGTGGGAATATTATACTCTGAGAAAACTGTCTTTGGAGTGTTTTGGTGCCTGGAGGATCTGTGAGAGGGATCCACTACTGCTCTTTGATCCGCAAGGGTCGAAGGGATGAGGTGAGAGGCTAATTCAGATGGTGGTTGGATTCGCAGATCTGTATACACCCTGAAACCTGCACGAGTTTTCACCTGTGGTCACTAACAGTATAATTTGGAAGCACCGTTTACTGTTTTGTTCACCAACAATATTTATTTTTTGGACTTTGAGATATAAGTTTGTGTGTACCATTATTATGGTTATTTTTCACTTCACAATAAGGCACGTGTGATTACATTATGTATACAGTTGCAAGAAAAAGTATGTGAACCCCTTGGGATTACGTGGAGTTTTGCATGAATTGGGCATAAAATGTGCTCTGAACGTCATCTAAGTCACAACAATAGAAGAACACAGTCTGCTGAACATAATACTACACAAACATTAGATGTTGCCATGGTTTAATTGCACATAACATGTAAACATTCACAGTGCAGGGAGGAAAAAGTATGTGAGGCCCTAGCTTAATGACTTCTCCCAGAGCTAATTGGAGCCAGGAGTGAGCCAACCTTGACTCCAATCAGTGTGATGATATTGGATGTGTTGCTGACAGCTGTCCTGCCCTTAAAAAACACACACACTGTTTTCGGTTTACTGGTTTTAAGAAGCACTGTCTGATGTGAACCATGCCTCGCAGAAAAGAGCTCTCAGTAGACCTACGATCAAGAATTGTTGACTTGCATGAAGCTGGAAAGGGTTACAAAAGTATCTCCAAAAGCCTTGATGTTCATGTGTCCACGGTAAGACAGACTGTCTACAAATGGAGAAAGTTTAGCACTGTTGCTACTCTCCCTAGGCGAGGTCGTCCTGTAAAAATGACTGCAAGAGCACAGCGCAGAATGCTGCATGAGGTAAAGAAGAATCCCAGAGTGTCAGCTAAAGACCTACAGAAATCTCTGGCACATGCTAACATTTTTGTTGACACATCTACAATAAGGAAACCATTAAACAAGAATGGAGTACATAAGAGGACACAACGGAGGAAGCCATTGCTGTCCAAAAAGAATATTGCAGCACGTTTGAAGTTTGCAAAAGAGCACCTGGATGTTCCACAGCACTACTGGCAAAATATACTGTGGACAGATGAAACCAAGATTGAGTTGTTTGGGAAGAACACACAACACTATGTGTGGAGAAAAAAAGGCACAGCACACCAACATCAAAACCTCATCCCCACTGTAAAACATGGCGGAGGGAGCATCATGGTTTGGGGCTGCTTTGCTGCCTCAGGGCCTGGACGGATTGTTGTCATTGATGGGAAAATGAATTCCAGAGTTTATCAAGACATTTTGCAGGAAAACGTACGACCATCTGTCCGCCAACTGAAGCTCCGCAGAGGATGGGTGATGCAACAGGACAATGACCCAAAGCATACAAGTCATTCAACAAAACAATGGCTGCAACAGCACAGAATACGCCTTCTGGAGTGGCCCAGTCAGAGTCCTGACCTCAACCCGACTGAAATGCTGTGGCATGACTTTGAGAGCGATTCACACCAGACATCCCAAGAATATTGCTACACTGAAACAGTTTTGTGAAGAGGAGTGGTCCAAAATGACCCCAGATCGTTGTGCAGGTCTGATCTGCAACTACAGGAAACGTTTGGTTGAGGTTATTGCTGCCAAAGGAGGGTCAACAAGTTATTAAGTCCAAAGGTTCACATACTTTTTCCTCCCTGCACTGTGAATGTTTACATGTTATGTGCAATTAAACCATGGCAACATCTAATGTTTGTGTAGTATTATGTTCAGCAGACTGTGTTCTTCTATTGTTGTGACTTAGATGATGTTCAGAGCACATTTTATGCCCAATTCATGCAAAACTCCACGTAATCCCAAGGGGTTCACATACTTTTTCTTGCAACTGTATGTGTATTTTTGGTTCATGCACATATATACAGATATTGTTTTTTGTGTTTCCACATGTTTTTGAGCTATTTATTTGATTTATGTTATTATCAGTGAGCACGTATAGACCTGTATTTAGAACATTGTCACATTTTTTTTATTTGATATTTTGGGATCCCACATTCACATTTCGTTTGATTTGAATGTAGCGCAGCATTCCTTATGTTTTATATTTATTCATGCCTGTTAGAGTTTTCTTCAGTCTGCTCTCATCCTCGTGTCCACAGATATCACAGTAAAGCAGTGCACACACTCACAATGCAAAGCATGATGGGGCCAGGGGCGGACTGACCATTTGGAAACTCGGGCACTGCCCGAGGGCCCGGGGTCAGTAGGGGGCCCCATGAGATGCCTCTGGTACCTTTTTCATAGGCTTTTTTGAGTTTGGGCAAGGACACAGGGGCCCCATGATCCCCTATTGCCCAGGGGACCCATGTGTTTTCAGTCCGTCCCTGGGTGGAAGACTTCAGGCTGCACCTGGTGGGAAACTGTTTTGCTGTCTTTCCTGTCTATGTTGGAGTCTGCTGAAGTTTTGGTGTCCAGATCTGTGTTGATGGGGGACAGCAAGCTGCAAGAGAGAGTGTCTCTATCCAGGACATCAGCTCTTTCATTTAGGGTCACCATTGCTGTGTTCAGGACTATCACCATCACACTCCGATACGGCAAGAAACCAAATGGAAAAACAAACAGAGGGCACACCGGCCTAGTACATTACCTTAAAAAATGTTTAATAAGATATAAAAAAATAGGTATTGTACTCACAAACGACAGTAAAGTCAAAGGCACATCATGAAAGAACAGCTTTGTCTAAAGTACTCTATGTTACTGTCCGCAATCAGGAGTGTAGACATCCAATAGGCCAACACGTTTCGTGGTCCTGCCTCTTCCTCAGAGCCAACTGACCAGATGTCTGTACCCTCTTTCATATGCTACTAGTTTAACCCCTTGACGCCGACGTAACACAAATATGCGGCCTCACGGACCTGGGCTTTTTTCCGTGGGGCCGCATATTTGCGTACCTGTCTTTGTGCTGGGAGCGCGCCGCTCGGCGCGCTCCCAGCACAGAGACCGCGGTGTCACTGAGAGCCCCGGGTCCCGTTCTAACGATCGGGACCCAGGACTCCCGAATCCGGGTCACGTGATCGCTGTGATAGCCTCTGATTGGCTATCACAGTGATCAGTCACTGTGCAGCCCGGCCCCCTTGTTTTTTCTCTCTCTATGAATGGAGAAGAGAGATACATTGTCTCTCTCGAACTCCTGACATAGAGAGATAAAAAAAAGTTTGTAAAAAAAAAAAAAAAAAAAAAAAGATAAATTAATAAATATTAAAAAATAAAATAAAAAATAAAGAAAAATACCTAGATCAAGGTTTGATCTAGTTCAGTACCAAGGTTAGTGTTTGAGTCAAGATCAGGGTCAAAGGTCAAGGTCAAAGGTCAAGATTTAAAAAAATTAGTGTCAGTGTGTGTTAATGTCAGTGTGTCAGTGACAGTGTGTTTTGTGTAAAAAAAAAAACAAAAAAAAAACAAAAACAAAATGCGTACTATTGTTTCTGGGCTGTACTACGGGTACAAACAACAAATAACATACACATATCTGGTATCGCTGCGATCGTCAAGAACTGGAGAATTTATTTTGGGTTGTTCTTTGGTGGTAGGTTATGGTTGTAACAAGAAACACACAGTTAAATAAAAAAAAAACTATTTTTTTTACTATTTTGGCCCAGTTTTCCTTTAATAATAAAAAAAAAATTAGGAGCTATCCATTACCATTTACCACCAAATGAAAGCCCAATTTGTCCTGAAAAAAACGCGGTATAATCCACCTGGATGTACAAAGTAGTTGTGATGATATGTATGGTTTTACTAACACATGTCAACGTTGCAGAATTGTGCTTAGGCATTTAGATTTGTTTTACCCTTAGGCGTGAAGGGGTTAACCAAAAGGTCACATGTGGGCCGTCCTGGACACTCCCCGGGGCGGGGGGAGGTGTCACAAGGGCTGTTGACATCATGAAAGCACACACAAAAACATAATGAGGCTTATCAAAAATAAAAACCATAGGAAGTGTACATATGGGAACATAAGATCCTCCTCCTGTATTGGACTGCGTTGTCCGCATATGAATAAATAAGTGTATAAATAAATGGTTGGATAATACATGGAATATGGAGATACTTAGCACCAGGATGGTAAGTGCTTGTATGAATGAATGAAATATTGTATTCAGGGACACATACCAGGTGGATGGGGCATGATGATAGCCAGGTGCATAAGTTAGAGAGTGGATCCACAAAAGGATCGGGTTCAGGAGTGGTGGTGCGGCTGGGAACTGCACCCTGTAGGACTATGCATGCTGGAACGCACGCCCACATGTCTGCTGTGGATCTGCAGGCTTGTGCGTTCCAGCAGAAGCCAGGACCGCCCCCCTCCATGAGGACCTGGCTCGGAAGAGCAGCAATGGGTGCGCTCCACCAGGGACCAATAGGAACCCCTGGATCCAGGGAGTCTCGACCAAACCCACCAAAGGGCGGGCTCAAAGTGCGCTCTACTGGGGCCAATCAGAGCAGGGAGTGGGGCACATGACGGCTCGTCACCACAGAGGGGAGGGTACTGCAGGCACTCTATCGAAATCAGTGTGACGATGCGGCCTAGTGACCCGAATTGCCATTGGCAGCAGTGGGAGGGAGATCCTCATGCGAGAGTGGAAGAGAGCATCTGCAGGCTGGGCTGAATATGTTGTGATAAATATTAAATATACAGTCAGGTCCATAAATATTGGGACATCGACACAATTCTAACATTTTTGGCTCTATACACCACCACAATGGATTTGAAATGAAACGAACAAGAGGTGCTTTAACTGCAGACTGTCAGCTTTAATTTGAGGGTATTTACATCCAAATCAGGTGAACGGTGTAGGAATTACAACAGTAATAACTGTCAGCTCGGGCACCCTGCTTTGTAAACGCTATAAAACTTTCACGTAAACCAATTAATTTACACGTATTGGGATTTTTTTTTTTTTTTTTTAGCAAAGACAAGTAACGGAACACATGTTGGCCTACAATTTATGACGAAAATTAGATTTTTGACATTTTTCTTACTGGTCGTATTTAATAGCAAAAAGTCAAAGATATTGTTTTTTTTCCTCTCAAAATTGTCAGTTTTTTTTTTTTATAGTGCAAAAAAAAAAAAAAAAAAAAAAGAAGGACGTAAATTTAATTTGGGTGCAACGTTGGATGACTGCACGATTGCCAATTAAAGTAGCGCGCAGTGTCATAAATGCAAAAAATGGCCTGGTCGGGAGGGGAGGGGAGGGGGGGGGGGTAAATCCTCAGGAGGACAAGTGGTTAAAGTGTTCCTATGTTGACTTTGCACCCCAGTACTGCCAAATTTCCACTACTGGTCAGTGGGATGGCGATAAGAAGGTGCTGTGTCTTTATAGCCTCTGTGTATATCTCTCATAGTTACAGCACCCTTCAGGGCCTTTGCCCTTGCAACGGGTTGTTGGGTACCCCATATAAGGGTTGTTATATGTGATTCTGATAGTATTCAATTTGAAAGTTGTGTTTTGTATGCATTGTTTATCACCTCTGTTTTGCCACAGTTTATTGGCATTGCTGCCCACACCCCTTTTAAAAAAGGAAAGGGAGATTTTAGATTATAGTAAAGTTGACAAGTACAGGGGTTAGACCAAAAAATAAAAAAAAATTGTAAACACTACATGATGTGCAGGTGTGAAAGTGATGACTTGTTTTTCATTGAAAACGGAAGTGATGTAACACTATTTTGCTTCCGCTGTGTGATGAGACACCTAGCCAACAGGTGGGAAGCCTCACTCTTGTCATTCACTACGTGTGCTGCTAGTAATGCGGAGTCATGTCAAAGCCTACTGAGCTTCAAAAGAGGGCAAATTATTGGTGCCTCTGTGAAGATGCTAATTTGCCTGGTCCCGAGGAACAGTATCAAAGGTTATGATGGCATATGCAGTTTCCGGGAAAACGTCTGCATAAGTGCAGTCGACATGGTCAACTGACTGAAAGGAGACAAAAAAGGACATTGCACAGGATTGTGACCCGGGGTAAGAAAACAACTGCTGCAAAAGTGACTGCAGAGCTCAATCTCAGCCCTGTGAAGCAATGACGACAGTCCAATAGGAGGGCATTGGCAGACAGGGCACCAGTCTATACCCTTTTATATACACATGACAATGTGTTACTGGCAGTCAGCCACATATATGTTACTGGCAGAAATACAGGCACAGGAGGCATGTGGGATACAAGAGGTGGGGGCCATGCTTTTATATAATGCAGTGCATTCATTAGCCTTTTAGTGATTGGGGAAGAATGTGAAATACCTTGTTTCCAATTGGCTGGTTCGGATTACAGGCTTGAGCATTACCATTTTCAGAATAATGTTTTCTGCAATCAGTTTGACCAATGTCCACTGTTATGTCAACATTTTCTCCTGCAACGACCTATGACAAAAAGAAGTAAATAGTAATTACAGAATATAAAGACAGTAGAAAGACCACATACACATACTGCTAAATGGGGAGTAGCTTCAAATACTGTATATTCGTTTTTGTGTAAATAACACACACATATTTACCAACTGGCCCACACTTTCAGCTGGATACATACTAGCAAACATGGGGAGGGATCGATGTATGTATTTAAAAATGTATCTAAACCTCTAAAAATGTAATATAATTTAAGAGTCCTCAGATGTGATGGCTGCATTAGCAGGGGCGGACTGGAAACTCATGGGGGCCCCTGGGCAATAGGGGATCATGGGGCCCATGTCCTTGCCCACACTCAAAAAAGCCTTTAAAAAAAGAGAAAAAAAAAAAACCCACACACCACACTAAAGAAGAGGTCTTGTTTATTTTCACTTAAAGTGTTATCAAACCCACAACAATACAATCAGTCTGTATATGCAGCAAAGCATGCTTGTTATACTCCCTGAGAAACCTAAGGGTTAATCCTCTGCATTGTGTAAAAAGGATGTTTGATCTTGGCTTCTCTGATCCTCCCCTTCTTTCACAGTCCCCAGTCCACCTGCTGATAGAACAGAGCCTTGGGGGCCATCTGCACATGCTCAGTTTGGGGTCTATTGCTAAAGTTTTTTTTTCTTGGGAGAGTGCATGTGATCAGCACAGGGCCAAACATCACTGTCTAGACAGAGGTCAGGGGTCCGGCAGCCTTACAGGACAATCGGGGAGAATGAAAACTCCTCCTACAAGCCTTAACCAGTGTTCTGCTGGACACTGATAGAAGTCAAAAGACTGCTCTAACTTTTGATGAGAAAAGTTTAGTAGTTTATATTTACTAAAATAATAGCAGTTTATATTTACTAAAATAATTGCATTTCCATGCTCAATGTACTATGGGAGACCAGATATAGTGAATGCAGGGTCCTGGGTTTAGTAACACTTTAAATTAGTAATCATGTAGTACTTTGTCCTTCCTACCTGCTGTGGAAGGCAAGCTATGTGGTCAGACAGGACACCTAA